TTAGGATTTGGGATCTTTTATGTTAATGATGAAACTCTTTATGGTAAAAGTATTATGCATAAAGCTTGGATCTACTTTATTGTTTGTTTGTTTATGTCTTTCTAAAGAGAAAGAACAGAGCCAATTTGTCATCCATATTGTTAATGTCCAACAGTTTTACTAGATCTTATTATGAATAATTTTATAAATTTTGGTTAGCAAATACTGATTCAAAACACATAATTTTGTCAGCCTCTTAAAATGGCTTTTGTCCATCAGTTTTTATTTTAAATGTGAAACTGGTGTGTTAAGTTAAAAAAAAAAAGAGTTGGAGGCTTATGAAAGAATAGCAAACATAAGAGGGTAATTAAATGATCGGCTAATTTACTAAATTCAATCTAGTATTTGCAAAGTAAGATTAGGTATTATCATTTATTTATCTTTACATTTTTGTAAGATTATGTATTGTTATTTTCAAAAAAAAAAATGATTATGTATTGTTCAAAATATGTTTATCGTTTGAGATGATTTATACATTTTGGATATGTATTTTTCCACATAAGAATATTAAATTTAATATTTGAGACTGTACTTTTACTTTTTTCCTTTAACTAAAAAAATATCTATCTATATCATTTTTAGATTGGGATGCAAGAAACGTACGTGTTGGGGAAGGAAATGCTATCTTGGAGAGAAATCTACTTGGGGTTGAAGTTGATTTAACATTTAAATGTTAAGGAGTCTTTGTAAATGTATTCGCTAGTTTCCATTTGGTCGTAGAAAAAAAAATCATTTCGTTTTTATTTTTAGTCGACTAAAATTTTCATAATGCCTAGACATAGATCCGAAGGTGTAATTCCTCTTTCCCCTTTTTTGTTTGTTCTTTTCAATTTCAGATGTCAAAATTTTGTTTTGAAGAGGTTTGGGTTACGTTAGAGTTTATTCATGCATGCGTTTGTTCTGATTATGTTCTCTAATATACGCTTTTGTTATATAATGTTTGAGAGGATTCAGGCCGTCTCAAAGTTTATAAAGACCCTGTTCAAATATCAAAATTAGGCCCTAAATACAATTTTTTCCCATTAATTACAATAAAAATTATTTTAACTATAACTTATTGCAAAAAATAGTTTCTACCTATAAACGCTATTATTTATTATTATTTATAACTGAA